TATAAAAAAAAAACCCAACCCCCCCCCCCCCCCCAAAAAAAAAAAAACTTACAATTCTGCTAAAACTAAATAAGCAGAAATTAAAAAAAAATGAAATGAAAGAACTTGCAATGTATATATAATTTGCACAAAACGTCTATAGAGAGAGATTGAAATAGCTTAACTGGGTTAAAAATGAGGGTTTAAGAGAGGCCTGTTGTAGGCTATAGAATTGAGAGTGTCTTATCGTCTTTGAGTTTTTGATGTGTTTCACCGTTAACTCCTCCTGTGTTTAACGATTCTTGGAGGATGGTGACTCATGATTCCTGGCTGGACCCCAAGTTTGGTAATTGTTGCAACGTGCAAATAGCACTGAATAGAAAATTGCAGTAGAGGTTTTAGATTTATTTAATTTCTACCAAACGAGTACTGACTTTAAATTTTTAAAGATGGTCAAGTCGCAAACGTTTCAACTATATATAGAGATCACAATGGGCTCTGACTTTTAATTTTGGGGCACAAAACATCCCTACGTTTGACACTTGTTGCAAAAAACGTTCTTACGTTTCATTTTTTTGCATTTTCAACCTTATTTCAATGTTTTGTTGCGAAAAACGTCATTCCGTCCATTTGCCGTTTATTTCACAGTTAAATGCACACCTAGTTCACTTTTAATTTCAAGCTTGAAAAGTAAAATGGTCAGGCACTCCAAACAAACTCTGCTTCCCACGATAAAATGGTTATTCCCAAAAAAGAAAAAGAAAAAATTATTCTCCCCGAACTACAATGCCGAAGCCTACTGTTCATCATCACCGTGGTTGATGCATTTTCGAAAATTCATTGTTCATCATCACCATGGCTGATGCGTTTTCAGAAATCTTGTATTAATCATCGCCCATGTCTAATGCATTTCGAAAATGGAATGTTCATCTTCACCATAGTTGATGCGTTTTCGAAAAACAAATTTTGATATTCGTACCAGCTATCATTCGCCATTACTAAAGACTCACTAAGTTTAGTCCCAGAAATCTGTACCATAAACTAAAGTCGTAAACATGCTTTCCCCGAAGTTGGAGAATGTTTGCGTAAAATATCCCTACGTTTTACAATGTTTTCGTAGAACGTCCCTACCTTTGACACTATTTGCGTTAAACGTCCCTACGTTCCATTTTGTATTGCACGAAAAGTCCCAACGTTTGTCACCTATTTGCGCATAACGTCCCTATGTTTCATATTTTTGCGAAAACCGTCCCTATACATCCTGTTTGAAATCCCTTTCATTCACGACATCATCAACTCACAGCAAACTCAACAAGCAACCCCACACACTAATCAACCCACCAACTCCACTTACTGGTCAAACTTCAAATTAAAAAAGTAGCAGTATATACTGAACAAACAGGTCTGTAATGGCACAATAAAAGGCTTAATATTACAGTTAATATTTACGGCCAAATTTGCATCTAATGTAGGCAAAATAGAGATGTCCATTGACATAGCATTCATATGTTTAAACAAAAGAAATTTACAGTTCAACAATTACTTCAAGATAGTCTCAAACTGCATTCTACAGAAACCAAAAAAAATGATCTGATTATCCCTAATTCCTTGCTGGTGGTGGTGCCCCCTTTGCAGCTCCTACTGTTGTGCCCTGATTCTCCACATTTTTTACAGCTCTGAGTTTGGCCTGCTCTTTTCTTCGCACTAGATATGCCTGCTGAAGTTGTCTCTGAAGGGGTTTCATTTTGTGAAGACATTCTAGACTTCTTTGCCTTACTAGAAGACTCCACCTCATTTGATTGTTTTCTTCTATTCTTTTTTGGCCTCTCAGTCTTCTTTGTGTATGCAGGTGGTCTGAGTGGGTTGAGACCTGGACTAGGTCATGAGTATGGTCTTGTGATTGGCGAAATTGAAGGCGTATACGTGATCAAATAATAGTCCTTTCTGTAGATGGCATGTACATAATCAACAACATTAAGGCCTCTTGATATCAACGAGGCAATCACGTGGCAACAAGGGATCCCAGATAACTGCCACCCACGACATGTACAAGTCCTTGCCCTGATGTCAACAGAATGCATGCATTGTGCCGAACTTGGAACTTCTCATTCCCCGCATATTCAGCTCATTCAAACCTTGACAGCTTACTGTTTCATTCACTACCGATGGACGTCCATCTATCAGCTGCTTCCCTACGAGCTACAATTCTCTTCATCAAGTATACCCTAATCTCCTCAAGCATAGTTAGAATGGGCTTCTCTCTTGCAGTGACAAATGTGCTATTGAATGATTTACACAAATTGTTCAGCAACATGTCACACTACGTCCACTCTCAAAAGTGGGATTTGCTCCAATAGGAGGCTGATTTTTGTTCTAGCCACCCATACGCAGCCGGGTCGAGGTCCAACATTTTTTGCATATGTGAAAGCCATTGTGGCACAGTAGTGGCTCTGGTTGCATCCCAAAGGCAATTCTTCATAGCCAGTCTCTTATGTGTCGCGCTGAAATTATTGTACAAATGTCGAACACATGTTTGTACTCCACACTCTCAAACAACGACTCAATCGCATTAACCAACCCCTTCTGCTTATCTGAAATGAATGTCCAGTGCATGCCATTGTGTATATGCAAATCATCTTTCAGCAACTCTAAAAACCACCTCCAATTGTCTCCATTCTCCACCTCAACAACTGCATACACTACTGGATACATACCATTGTTTGCATCCACTCCAACTACAGACAATAACTGCCCACCGTACTCCATCTTTATAAAGAAACCATCTAGACCAATCACCCTTCTACATCCCCTGATGAAACCCTCCTTTAAAGCTCCAAGGCAAACATATAACCGTCGGAATTCTCCAGCATAACCCTCAACAAATGTTGTGGTCCCACTATTAGTCCGCTTCAACTTTTCACAATAATCCCACTGTATTTTGTAATGGTCCACCACAGTCCCCCTAATCTTCTCCAACACTTTCTCCTTAGTTCTATACACTTGCCAGAGTGATATATCACCTAAACTGTCCCTTTTAACCCTCTCCTTGAATGTGTTGACCGACATATTTGGTTCGGACCTCCAATCAGATAAATATCTATCTGCCAAATATGTGAAAGTCACTCGAAAATTCTTATACACCATCGAGCATATATGCTCTGTTACATATGTTTTGATCACCCGAGTTGTCTTGAAACGCTCCTTGGTAGCATACAAAACCCAGAGACACTCTCCCTTGCACTTGGCTCTCAATCTCAATGTATCATCCTTCTTGTATTTAATCTCTCGGTTGCTCATAACTGAGTATGAAGTGATGGCAGTCTTCAACACAGATTTGGACTCAAATACCAAACCTAACAATAAGAAAATACAATCATGTTAGTCATCCATAGAGAATGGGCTACAAGTGAGGTAAACAATGTGTTGAAGTTACCTTATCTGAACTTTGGGTCCCCCATATTAGTCCTTGAATTGAAAGCATCAGTTGAAGCCCTTCTTCTTGAAGTTGTATCATCCTCATCTGTACTATCCATGCTTCGTAACTCATCGGAGTCCCCGCAGTCGGTATCCAAATCCCTAACTTGATGCTCATCTCCCACACCTAATCCAAAATCAAAATTTACCCTTTCACGCTCAGTTTCAGCAGTAGATACTGATTGATCCTCCATCTCATAATCAGATTCCACCAAACTTTCAACTCCACCTTCAAACTCAGCTTCAACCCCAACTTCATCATTTTCAACACCTATACGACCCACATTTTGATCTTCTTCATAATGGTATTGAAGGGTTTCCTCGTACTATGACCACAACTCTTTAGCATTGTTGTGAAAAACCTGATTCGACCAATCGATTTCAGGCTCCATACCTTCAATTTCTTCCACATAAGGTACATAGCAACCTTTAAAAGTTTGTAGTTCATCGCATTGTGCATCATCTTCTTGGATTGATGCATGCATTGCCAATGCATGCAATTGCAATGGGGCGACAACATATATATGCACGACTGGATGGTCACCTCTATCCCTAAACATTTCCTTTATATCATTCTCACTCTCCAATCTATTCAACCCCTTCCCTAAACTCATTTTTTGTTTTCTGTAGCAAAACTCCAACATTAAATCATTGCCAACTGCATCTAAAAACTTCATCAAATTACCTTTCGTAAACATTTTGGCATGGAAAAAGTCGAAGAACACCACAAATCCATTTTCGTATGACAGATTGTTTGGCTTATCGTAGAAGCAGCCTCCGTGATGCAATTCAATAGTGAAGTAACCTGAGTTTGCACCTGCATGCAAAACAATACAGAGATTAGGGTATGAAGAGTGAAAAATGCTATGGAAATGGTGGAAATGAATAAACACACACTGATCAAATTTGGACTACATAGCATAAATGCTTAAAGGCTAGCCAAAACCACAAAAATTTTAGCTTCCAACCAATATTGTATAATCTCTGATTCATACGTAAAAAAACCCCCAAAAATTTCTCCCAAAACGTTTGGTTCTCTTCCTATTTCCCATTTTCGATTTTAATCAGGTTCCAAACTTTAACTATACATAGAAATTAAGATTAATGGAGGGAAAATAGTTATTAACCCCCTCCAATGTTCATACCGTATATGGGTGTGGCATTGTTGAGCCCTCTAATAAATGGAGGAGGCATTTCGCTCTCAACTGAAAACCCTGCAAGAAAAAATGAGAACACCCATAAAAAATTAGCAACCAAGCATCGATCATTCAATGTCTGAAATTTTGATCACCAACGAAACGTTGAAATAAGGGCAAAAATGTAAAAAAAATGAAACGTAAGATCGTTTTCCGCAACAAGTGCCAAACATATGGACGTTTTGTGCTATTAACTCTTTAATTTTTAAAGATGGTCGAGTCGCAAACGTTTCAACTATATATAGAGATCACAATGGGCTCGGCCCATAATCCCTACACGGGCTGAGCCAAGTCAGACAATGATGTGACATCATCAATTTTTTTTAGACCCTATTTAAAAAATATATAGAAAAAAATTCAATCCATGACAAAATGGAAATTTAACGGAATTAAAGGTTATGTTTGAGCTCCATTGAGTTTTTCAATAGTGATTTAAAAAAAAAAAAAAAAAAAAAATGGGGGTTAAAAAGTAATGAATTTTGTAGTATAAATTTTTTGAAGAATATGCGGCTATAAAATAGTGAAAATAGGGAAGAAAATATGGATTTACGTATAAAAAATTTTTATTGAGGGAATGTATGGTTGAGTTTGAAGAAAATTGAGTTTTTAAATAATGAGGCTCAAAAAGATTAAAAGAGGTTGTATTTATAGAAAAATAATATTGTGGAGAACGAGATTCAAAAATGCTAAAATAAAAAAAAACAAGCCAATGAGCTCGTTGTGGAACAAGTTTAGTTGTCCATGGACAATATCTCATGAGCCATTGCAACCACTGAGAGCACTCTAAAGGATTCTTTAAGTATAAAATATTCTCAATTATAAGAAAAAAATGTGTGGTTAAAAAGTAATGAATTTTGTAGTATAAATTTTTTGAAGAATATGCGGCTATAAAATAGTGAAAATAGGGAAGAAAATATGGATTTACGTATAAAAAATTTTTATTGAGGGAATGTATGGTTGAGTTTGAAGAAAATTGAGTTTTTAAATAATGAGGCTCAAAAAGATTAAAAGAGGTTGTATTTATAGAAAAATAATATTGTGGAGAACGAGATTCAAAAATGCTAAAATAAAAAAAAACAAGCCAATGAGCTCGTTGTGGAACAAGTTTAGTTGTCCATGGACAATATCTCATGAGCCATTGCAACCACTGAGAGCACTCTAAAGGATTCTTTAAGTATAAAATATTCTCAATTATAAGACCGTCAATCCTTAAAATTAAATTACAATCGACTCTTTTTTTGTAGTTTATATGTGTATAATTATTGCATCCAATGAGCATATGTGTTCATTTGCTCATAATAAAATAGGCAATGGTGCTCATTAAATTATTCATATATATATATATATATATATATATAAAACTATCGAAAACTCTGTGTGCATTTAATGCTAGTATTGGTATACTAATAAGTGCGCGTCAATATTATCTCGAAGATGGTAAGATGAATTACATATTTTATTACTTAAAATTTAAGATCCATATATTTGTGATATTCATATATGAATTAAGATGATCTACATATTTTTTAATTTTATTACTTAACGATAAATTTTAACATGCCTAGCTATTAAAGATCCATTAAGATATTCATGATCCACGAAAGTGTTCTAGCGCGCGCACATATTAACTGCAACAACTTATGTTGCCTCTATTGTAATCTTAATTGTTCAAAATAAAAAGGGATGAAGGGAAAAAGATTGAGCCATAAAAATGGCTTATACGACCGCATAAGTCTTTCAGGCTTGCGGTCGCATATGAATTTTCAAAGAAATTAGAGGCAGCCAATATTATAACTATGCGATCGCATAGCTATAGCCTATGTGGTCGCATAGAGTAAAAATTCGACCGTTGGCTGGATTTTTTCAAATTTTCTGGTGGTTTTCTTGGTGAATCATTGCAACTCTTTCTCTTGAGTTGGGACCACTTCGTATGGTATGATTAAAATTTATAAATACTTGATGGTGTTCATCCTAAAAACATGATAATCCATTCTATTATTCGTCTTATTAGAAAAGAGACTATCACATATTCAAAACCAACTTTCACTTGTTCATTTGAAGAATTACTTTTGCTTTTGGCGTTCTTCTTTAAGTCTTGATCAATTCTACAAATTATTCGTCATTTTAATCCTTAAAAGCATTGTGAGATAATGTAAATATCTTTTAAGAACAACGATATAATCTTCATGTCAAGTCTTCTTCGTTATATCATATATATTTATCTTCTTCATAATTTTGTTCTCCATTGCTGTACTTTTTCTAACAGCCTCTTTGATATTAGAGTCCAAGTGAGACGATCTTGTTAGTCTCCCGAGATAAATGCTATTCCTTCCCCATTTTTCTCTCCATTTCGAAGATACTGTCAAGATGGCTTCTGACTAGAGTCTAGGTAGGTGCTCTTTAAATCACATGACGTTCTCCCAGTTGTTCAAGGACGGTAGCTTATCGTGTGTTTCTTGAGATTTAAAATACAATTTCTTCCTTTATCATTTGGTATAAAAACTCCCAACTCATGACCAGTCCATTCGTGGTCGAACCAGTATCTAATCATACTTACGAAGCATGTGATAAACACTTCTTTGATACACTACTTTCCAAGTTCTATCTTACCACTCAAATGTTCGATCCAGTTTGCCAAATGTCACATAAAACTTACCCCCCCATCGACAAAAGTAGATTTCCAAACCGTCAAGTAACATAGATATGCAGTTAAAAGTTCCAACGAAGGGTGCAAATATTTTCCAAATCAATACGTTCTTGTTGATCACTCTCTCGAGTAAACAATCATAAGCAAAGAACTCGGCATTTCCGCAAATCCCAGTGTACAAATAAATTTATTGACACAAATATAATTATATAAATGCCACGACCTTGCCACTGTGTGAGCCATAAGTCAGAAAACACATCTACAACACGAAATGATCACACATTTTAATTTAACCACCACCCAAATGCAAATTAGCAAATCCGAAACAGTATGAAAGTAAACATCCCCTTTCCGAGGGGTTACGCAAACAAAGGCATTAAAACTGCATGAAGGAACACTAACTAGTATGTTACACAATTCCAGGTAGTTTTGCAGTGGGGCTGCACCCATCCGAAAACATTTGTAAAACCTTTTAAGGACAATGAGGCAGGCCGAGAACCTTCAGTTAGACCACACATGGACGAGGCCTAGTCTATTTCCGGTGTAGATCTCATTTCGCTCTTCATCGTAGAAGAGAGCTGTGATGTCCTCCAGAGCTTCTGCTACAGTGTTCCTAATTCTGGAAGCCTGAATACGCTTCTTGGAGTTGCAACTTCTGCCACCACAATTAGCACTGCAACCGCAACCATCGACGGGAAGACTGTTGCTTGCTTTTACTTTTGCAAGACACTTCCCAGTCAAGATATTGCTGATATTGATAGAACCCGCTGCACCAGTGTTATCAATGGATACAAATTAGAAAAGAAAATGTATGTTCCATCTCAATCTCAATCACAATTCAATAGATTTAATCAAGCTTCATCGACAGTATATAATGAATGCTTATTAACTTTTGTTTTACAATGTCCCCTTTAAGAAATAGGAATCTTCTTGAAAGTATTTATGTTCCTCGAAAACATACCATTTCCTTCTGATAAGGAATCATCAGAGTCAGCTTTGCAATAAGAAATGATAAGGTCCTGATCGCTTGTTATGTAAATGTTGTTGGTATTGCAATCAGGATGCCATAACAGGTGATCCTCAAATGAAGTCACAAGCTCCCCACGGAAGTTCCAAACAGCTACTGTTCGGTTTCTAAAAGTTAGGAACAACTGGTTCTCGTACAAAAATATAAATGCAGATGGAGTCATGAACTCTGTTCTGCTAACTTCTGTTAACTCAGAATTGCGGACCTGCATCAAATACAAGTCAGATTTTATTGGATGTTCATATTGAAGTAACGGAAGATGTGGGACTTACATCAAGAATCTGGAGGTTCTCATTCTCTTGCTTGACTAGTAGCTTTTCATTGAACTGCTCAATGAAATCCACCTTCTTGTTTCGGTGAAGCAGATGATTGAAAGATTTAAGAACAGTTCCATCCTCAATTGAAAGAATCTTTAGAGGAACATGGCCGCTAGCCTTGGTAAATATTAGTAACATGATTCCTGGACTGTTTTCCAAAGGTCATGTAAGAAAAGCAGCTTAGATAAATATGACATTAACATCACTCAATCCAATATCAAACTTTTATTGGTGAAAGAACAAATATATTGAAATTTCAGACATCCAAATTATCAGCAAGCTTCTTCTTTTCTTTTTTCTTTTTTTAACTTTCCATGGATCTCAGCTACCCAATGACACTTGGTATAATGATCTAGTAATTAGCTGTGACATGATGACATTACTCAACCGTAGCTTCAGACACCAGCTTCACATGTCATCGGAAGCAACACATCACACAGTGCTTGTGTGCCTCTGCCAAACATTAACAGACAGGTTGAAATTTTGACCACTAGATTACCATTAGAAAACAACACGATACACCATGTTCAGACAAGCTAACTATGCATGAACTTTGAACACATACAAACCTCGTGAAATACATATTTACACTTTACTTGCATGAGAACAGACCCACTCAGCAATTAATTTACAATATATTATCTTAATAAACAAATGTAAACTTCAATTATCTAAAGGAGTGATAATCTTCTCAATTCTTTTCACCATATATGTAAACTAGGCAATCTATACCCTTTGCACACTTTTCCCTTCATAAATCAACTGAAAAATTACTCAGGTCATTGAGAGAAGAGACATAGGCAAGTTATCCATGCTATGTATATATCACAACAGCATAACTTTTTAAACAAACTATTTCAATTTGAAATTGTAAAGGTTAAATCATACTTAGACCACCATTTGAATGCATTTGAAATGTCTAATCTACCAGGTGTATAAATTGAAGCCACAGCACAAGCATAGATTAACATTAATATAAAATTCACCTGATCTTAATCTCTTGAACATTTTTATCCGAGATGGAGTACAGCATCGTATAATTTTTCAAATCAAACACCTTGTATATGCTGACACGAGAAGAAAGCATACAATTATCAACAAACTGCAGCACTCTTGTGACAACACAGCGTGGACTTTTAAGATTTACCTATCTTGTGCAGAATATGTAAGAACCTTCCCATTTACATCATCAAACTCAACAAAACCCGGCCATTTCAACGATTCTGACTCAAAGAGAGGAAAACCAGCATCTGGTTTACCCCTTCGTATGTATCTGAAATAGTTTGCGACATGCATGAGTAAAATAGTGCAAGAATGAATAGAAATCATTTACAAATGATGCAAAACCCATACTCAATCCTCGTAGTTCTGCATTTCAAGGAACTAAAATTATCCGATGCATAAACTGATACGGTGATGAGTGAATCATTATTCTTATTGTAGAATAAGCTCCTAATTACTTCATCATGACTGACATTCAAAAAGCATATCCTCTGATTAGTCTCTGCATCCAAGATATACACAAGTCCCATTTCAATGCCAAGATCTGAAAAAAAAAACTATTGACGAAATTTTTTCAAAAGGTATTCTTTTTTCCTTTATAAGCATGTACCTCGGCTAAATGCTGCGCAAACACCAGATTGAGCAAGAGCAAAGACAATATCATGGGCAGCAACTATTTCAATAATTTGTGATCTCTTTGTGAGAAATGGCAACACCATGGAACAATGTCCCTTGGGATCATGAGTATCATATTCCTCCTGAATCCAATATATTAACAATGAGATCATAAAGAAAAAGCATAAGAAAATAACAAGAATGCACTTCAAACTCACATTATATTGTAAATTACTACTAGAAAATACACTATCCTCAAAAAAGTAATGTATTTATCCCCAGTGGTGATGATCATCATGTTATGTACCATTAATAGATAAAACTAATAAAATGAGTCACACATCCATACATTTAATTGGACTTGCTATTTCATGCCACATAACCTGTGCGGTGGGTGAAGATTACTATTGGGGATATATAGCATTATTCATCCTCGAATATCTGGAAATTAATTCGGCAAGTTCTGAATCCTTTATACTACAAGTGAGAGTAAATTACAGGGGAAAGGACGCCAAACTTCAACTTTCACTGAAAGCCAAGTATACATTTAAATATTGTTACCAACCAACATGTATTAAAGAGAAAAAAAGAAAAAAAGAGAGGGCAATTGAAATGTGGAACACATGCAACGTTTGAAGTCACTACCGTGGATGCTGCATCAGATGCCATCTTATCATGTATATCCAAGAATTTCATTATAACAATTTCCTTCATAAGCTAGCAACTTCATTAAACAAAAAATTTCATCTCCTCCGGAAAAATGTTCAGCAGGTTCGCATAGAGGTGTACAAAGCCTCAAAGGAGTGCAACCCTGAGGGATAGCTCAGTAGTCAGGCTTTTGGTTTGCTCCCCAATAGTCACCGGTTCGAATCTTCTCAAGGCCATTGAAGTGAGTACCTGGTTATAAACTTCAGGGCCCCGTGAGATCAGTCGAGGTGCGCGTGAGCTGACCCGTACACCCATGGTCATAATAAAAAAAGAAAAGAAAAAAAAAGGAGTGCGTCTACAATAATTAACAATTAAAACTCTCGGTGTGAATTTAGCCACTGTCTGACTGCGATTTTGACGAGAAAAATCAATTCTTTTGGAATATGTGGGGGCCTTTCCAATTAATTAAGTTTTTTAATGACAATATCATCCAATCAATTCATTTGTCTCTTTCTCCAATGATCATTTTGCCCTTTGTAGAATTATAAAGGGACAAACAAGTTTTCCCAAGTGAGGATGCATTTGGTAATTGGTTATTGCATGTAATATGGACCATCAGATCTGCAACGGGTAGATTCCTTTTGAACAAATAATTTATAACAAATCAATATCTAAAAATTAGAGTAATGTTATTTACCAAGTTCATTAAATGAAGGGTACAATTAAATGAATCACATAACTTTACCTTTAATTGAATCTATTATAGACTGGTGCTGAGCAGCACTATTCTGAAAAGTATCAGATTGTGATAAGCTACGATGCTTGGACTTGAGTACGAGTATTGGGAATGGGTAGGGGTACGCACCTGTATCTAAGTGTCGGATCTTTTATTTTCTAATATAAGATACGGGGATATGGCTAAAAAGAGCCCAAATTTTGGACAGAGGTATGTGGGAATGTCTTTCAAGTTTCAATTTTTTTTACTAACCCAAGATATCATTTTGAATAGACAAAAATCAACTGTTCACAAAGAACGAAATGAGTATTGAATAAGGGATTAAGACGAATAAAATAGAATTTTGAGTTTAGTTTTCAATTATAAGAAATTAATTTCTAAAGATTATATAAAATATAAAATGAGGGGATTTATTGCAATTTGTACTTAGTAAAGAACTAAGTAGTACTATATGGAACTCATTTTCATTTTATACAAACAAAACACCAAACCATCGATACGGAGAGAGAAAAAAGTAATAAGAAGAAAAGGGAAAGAAAGAAGGGAAAATCTTGCATCGTCACCTTTCTCCACCTTCTAGGAGGCGGCACTAGGTTTAGAAAGAGCAAAAGTGAGAAAAAAGGAAAAGGAAAAGGTGGGGAAAAAAAGAACAAGAAAAAGAAGAAGAAGCAAAAAATGAAGTGTCCGATTAAAAATTGGAGGGTCCGATGCATATCCCATACACATACCCATACCCGTGTCGCGGGTACTACGACCGTTTCGAAGAGTTTGAGCATTGGAGGTGATAAGTAGCTGGTTTTCATTAAAACCAAACACGGGCTTAAAAAGTAATGGCAAAAGGACAAGCTAAAAACATCGACGAAAAGTATAAAAAACGGTAAGTTCATTAACTGAGGATTCCAAAACAACTGTAATTTCAACCTCCATAATTCAGAATATTAATAATTCCAAACTAATGTGTCAGACGAGCAATCTCCCGCTGATGTTCTCAAGATCAGAGGCCAATTGACAAAAGTGTTTTAGAGGTAATATCCACACTCCCAAAAAGAATGATAATCTCTCAGCTCTCTTTTGCATGCAAAAATATGCTCGCATAGTGGATAAGCATTTGATGAATGATAAAATCAAAATCACCCAGCTTTTTGGATAAATCTACTCTCAGGACATTTTCATAGTTTATGAAAGAATTTTCTTCATTTCATTCCGCTGACCAAGATCATAAATATTAACTAATACGTTTCGGTTATTTCATGTCCAATATTCACATCTACATATATGTATTAATAGCACATACAAGTTAAATTCAACTAATTAAACGTGAGAAAAGCAAAACTCTCCATCTAAATTGTTCTCAGAAATCCATAATAAGCACAGAAACCCTAAATTTTCAGCAAGTCAATATTTAACATAACAAAATCGTCTCAGTTTTCTGGAAGATTTTTAACAATCTAGGTACAAAAAATATACAACATGAAAACTGACACTTTAAAAATACATTTCTTCACCAAACTAACCTGCAAAAGGATGTTGCGGAACCGTTCCTGAGCGTTGCTCATGCTGAAAGCACGGTCACGCTTGGAGCAAATCTCTCGCCTTTGAAGCTTCTTCACGCTGTTCACAAACCCATCTAAGCCCCCACGGGGCCGCTTCTTCGCCACCACACGTCGCCCAGAACATGGCCTAGGGCTCGCTGTTATTCTTCTACCATCCATCTCAAATCCAACGTCGATACAAACCGTTACAACAAATCAAAACCCCAAAAATTCATACACAGATGCAAAACCTACACATAGATACAGGAACATCTACCGAATTATGCTTCAAACAGAATCAATCGTGGGTTTATGTTTTTCTTTTTATGTGGAGAAACCCCAAATCTCAAGACCCAGAAAAAAATTAGGGGTTTACTCGCCTAAGGCCCGGAGATTGATCTCCCAGTCCCACTGGGTCGTTGAAATCTCTGTGTATGCAGTTATACAGGCAAGTATATAAATATATGTATAGACAAATTCTCCTCTCTCTTTTTTGCAGAAGGGAAGGAGTGAAGCTTCGTTCCGAGAGAGAGGAGGGGCAGAGTACGGGGTGGCGATATTATATGCCGGATTTAAATTTGTTTGACGTCCGACCAGAATTCAAAATGACCATATCTGGATCTGACCGACGGTGCAACTTATTTTTATTTTTTTGCTAATTAATCTTAAAAAAAAAATAGTTTCGCCTTTTCTTTTTCTTTTTCTTTTTCCTTCTCGTTATGTATTTATGTGTTGAACTTTGAGTTGAATGTGTTTCAATAATAGGTTTTTACCAAAAACTTCTACGAGTACATGAATATTGAGCTTGTTCTTGAAGAAGCAAATTGAAGCGGATGAATATAAGTCATGCCTTGAAGTGAAAGAATTCTGAATTTCTTTTTATCTTTTTATGATTATATTGACAATAATTCGAAAAAAAATATTCAATAAAAATAAATGAAATTTGAAAAGTTTAAGGATATTCAATGTAGACATTTTGAGACATTCTAAAAGTATTCGTGCATTCAATAGAGATTTTTATGAACTTTTAAAAATCTTTAAGGCCCTATTTGAGCCTCCATTATTTTCTCATTAAAATAAAAAATATGATCATTATCAATCACATCAAGTCATCATATTTAACTTTTTATCTCTTGTGTAGAATCCATAACAGCTATATTTTTCATTCTCGTTTTTACAATAATGTGGTTCAAACGAGGGGCTAAGAATCATGGTGCATCAATTAAATGAATTTGGACGTCTCTATAAGCTATAGAGTATTCAAAGGGTTAAAATATATCAATGGTTACCGAACTTTATACTTAGAGTCACTATGGTCGCTCAATTTGATTTTATTTCATCATGGCCAATCAATTTTATACTTAGTGTCATTATAATCATTCTATTTTATTTTATTTTATCATAGCCACTCAATTTCATATAGCATTTTACCATGACCATTTAATTTTATATAACCTTTGACCAACTTTTTTTTCACAATTTTCACTAATTTTAAAAGGGGTAAAATGGTAACTTTGCATTATATATATAAAATAAATTTAAAATAAAAACTTATTTTACAATTACAAAAATCATTTTTAAAATAAAACGTATTTTAAAAATGAAATAATCAGAAAAGGATATAAAATAAAAAGTTATTAAAAAAAAGGTTCCTTTAAAAAAAGTAATAAAAACTTATTTTTTTTGAAAAAAAAATTACTTAGAAAAATAAAATAAAACAAAAACTTATTTTATAATTAAAAAACTTTTATTTTTTTATATTTATTTTATATATAATACAAAGTTATCGTGTTACCTCTTTTAAAATTAGTGAAAATGAGAAAAAGAAATTGAGTGTGCATGATGAAATGTTATATGAAATTAGGTGAGAATCGTGAAATATTATATGAAATTGGATATATATGGTGAAATAAAATCAAATTGGTCTGTCATGTTAATATTAAGTATAAAGTTGGGTTGCCATTGTAAAACAAAATTAAATTAGGTGGTCACGATGACACTAAATATAAAGTTTGATGATTACTGATGAATTTAACCCATATTCAAAATGTCAATAATTTTTAAGATTTTTTCATAAAAGTATCTAAAACACTAACTTTTAAATAGAAATTTAGAAAGTACAAAATATCTTAAAAACTACCATTCATTTGAAGATGATGTGGGACTCTCACAATAGAGGTTTTTTTGTTTTTTTTAAAATTATATTTTTTGTTATTTCGATATTTTTCTTTCTTCTTTCCTTCTACGAACAATTTATTTTTTCTTCTACGAACTATATTTGTTTCTATTCCACCCCCACTCTCTCTCTCTCTCTCTCTCTCTCTCTCTCTTTTATTGTTGAAAAAAATAAATGATAATTAAAAAATTCTTATAGCATTTTCTTATCCATTTTATTATGAAAAATATCAATTTGCACAAAAAATAATTTATAATTAAATTTAGATATGTTAATTGGTTGTTTACTTTTTGAATGTATGACATTTGACATTCTAATATTTATTTATTTTTTTGTTTTAGGTGACTTTAATTTTTTTTTATTCTTTTGAAAATATTTTTTATTATATGAGAGGGAAAAAGTGATTGAGGTATTGAATCTCCATCTCTTGATAACATCTCATTGTTGCATTAGACTCACATGAATTATATTTGAAGTAAAACTTTTAATACGAAAGTCTATAGAAGTCTACGAAGCCCTTATTTGGCAAAAATAAAGTTTTGAATAGTGAATTTTTTGAAAAATGTATGGTTAAAAAATAGGAAATTTTTTTTTATTTACATGCAAAATATTTTATTGTGTAAATATATGGTTGAAAATGAGAATGTAGAGAAAAAATTTTTTTTTTGATAATTGTTGTCAAACGAGGTAGAAATACTTTCATTAATTCTATACGAATCTATAAAAATTCATGAATTCCATGAAAGTCTTTAAATACTTATAAATTCTAAATTGTATGGCTGCAAAAGTTGGTTGCAAAAGTTTTTATTTACATCATTGAATGGTCTCGAGTTTTCCAAACTCTTAGCTAACATATGCTTGGCTCATATTTATAAATTGTTTATGTCTTAACCATATGCTAGTTTTTCAGAAGGAATTCACATGTACTATCTACTTATTTACACTTTTTCTATTTACTTATTACTTAAATCGTTTATAATCACTTTTTAAACATGCTCTAAACATAAGGAAATTTATCACTAGGAGTCTCCAACTTTTTGCAATTGTGGAGTTTACATAGTCTATCATTTATTACGATCATAATCTCAATTTTGCAAAATCGTGGTACCTACATCCCCAACTAAATGTCACGTGACACTCGTGTGATGTTGAATTGAAAGGGTAAAATTCTTTAAAAGGATTTCCTTTACTCCAAAACAAATCATTTGATTTAGAAATCTAAATAGGGTAAGGTTCTTTAGCCATTGTCTATCTATCATTTATCAGCTGTAAGTCCTAGAGCGTCGAGAAAAACTTATTGATCGCAAAATTGTAAAAAAAAAATAAATCCGTGAAGTGCAGAAAGCTTAAAGATCGCAAGAACACAAGAATTGTTTTGCCGTAAAAGGGCATGTTCAATCGTGATACCTAATCTCCCTATTTACAAATTAGTAACCAAAACACTCATAATCTCACAAAGATTGTACAAAACAACCATACTCTTACTAACGGAACGGAGACTAAACACGAAAGTCACAGTTACAGATTTCCAGAGAAATCCCATCTCACTCAGAGAAAAAGAGCCATCCAAAAATGAAGGAGACGAAAGCGCCAAGGTTAAGAATGAGCCATGTAGACGGTAGATCTTAACCCGATTTTAGAAATAAGGTAGCCCAAGACGAATGTGCAGCCCAACAAGCCAAGAAAAATAGAGAGGCAACCATTTTAACAATCTCCACCTTATTGAACTATTACTTGACATCTACTAATGGATCTAGACATCAATTGGCTTTGCTTGCTTTGAGTACCCGTAAAAAGAAAATTTTGAAGTTAGTACAATTTTCAACAAATAATGCTTGATGTTCTAATTATCACTACCTTCAAGTAAAGCTTAGAATCATCGAGCAATTTCTAAATTTATTAAGATGTTCGTAAATCAGAGGGGTTAAATTTTGTAGAAATTTTAACTAAACAAATCAGGCATTTTTCAACCATATTTCTCTTTAAATGAAATTTTATATTCACGTACTTAGTTCTATCATGATATACAGGATTCTTACTAAGATGAATGATACTTTGATTATTTGTATAAATCCTAATAGAATCATTTATAAAATCAATTTCATTTAATAATCCCCTTAACCAAATATTTTTTTAATAGCATCAGATGCAAATCTTTTTTTATCTAAGTCACCAGCAAAGCCAGAATCAGTGTAACATTTAGGTACTATTCCTTCATTGTTTTTTTTAAACATTAAACCTAAGTCAAAAGAACATTTTAAGTATTTTAACATCCATTTCATAGCTAAATAGTGTGTTTCACGAGGATTTGCCATAACCTTACTTAAAAAACCAATGCCATGAGCTAAGTCTAGTCTTGTGCACACCATAAGATACACAATAGACTCTACAGTATTGGCATAAGGAACATTTTCCATTTTTATAAATTCATCATCATTTTTTAGGTAACCGATCACTAGAAAGTTTAAAGAGATTAGCAATAGGCAAGGAAAAATGGTTTACACTCGAGCATAGAAAAATTTTCAAGTATTTACTTCATATAAGAACATTGTTACTAAACTAAGATGTAATTCTTCCTATCTATTTGTATTTTCATGAATTCTTTTACCTTGACCTAAATCTTTTATTTCAAATTCAAATTTCAATTTTGACTTAAGAAAATCAATTTCAGATCTATCATGACAAGCAAATAACATGTCATCAACATATAATAACAAGTAAATGAATTCAAGTCCACCTGACTCTTTATAGTAAAACAGGAATCACAATTGCTTTTGGCAAAACCTAAAGCATGCACATAAGAGTTAAACTTCATATACTATTGCTTGAGAGCTTGTTTTAAAATAGACATTTTTAACACACAAACATTATCAGCTTTTATTTCACTTTAAAAACTCATTAGTTGATTCATGTATATGATCTCATCAAGATTATCACTAAGAAATGTTGGTTTAATATCAAGATGATCAAATTTCCACTTAATGTGAACACTTAAGGATGACAAAATTCTGATAGAAGTATACTTTGTAACCAGGAAGAATATTTCATTATAGTTTACTGCTCTTTGAGTGAACCCGATAGCCACTAATCTAGCATTATACCTCTTATTTTTGTACTAGAATCTTCTTGTTTAATTTTAAAAATTTTCTTACACTGCTATCTTTTGGTCTCTAGGTATGTTAATTAAAACCCAAGTTTTATTTTTATTAGAGAATCCATATCTCCATTGATGGCTTCTTTCCAAAATTTAGATTCTGGGCATTTAAAAACTTCTTAAAAAGTAGTAGGGTCAGATTATAAGGAGTCTAGTGCAAAAAATGGAATTACAAATTCATCACTACTGAATCTGGTAGAAGGTATTCTATTCCTTCTCCTTCTATCTCTTGTAAGTTGATAGTTAGCAAGAGATAGGTGAATGGATTCAATTTCGTTTTCAAATTTACTTTGATTATGATTTATTTCAGATTAAGTAGTCTCCATTTCAATCAAATTATCTT